TTCTTCTGTTGTTATGTTATTGTCTATGGCCAGGAAATCATCTACTTTCTGGGGATCTGCTACTCCTAAATGTTTGGCATGTCGCAGTAACTGAGCAAGTGTCGCTAAGGGCAGATCGTCTTCAGCATCGCAATAATTTTGCTCAGCAAATTCTGAGCTACATTCACTTTTTCTGAATCCAGCTTTGCCAAAACAGTTTTTAATTGTAGAGGAATTTACTTTATTCCATGCTGTTTTTATAAAATACAAAGCTTCTAACACATTGATAGACTTTGTAAGCTCAGATAAGCTTTGACCATCGTCAATTTTTGTTAAAATATGTTTTAAAATCAAGTGCCGATAATAAAATTTAAAGTTCTGTATGACACCTTGATCCATGGGCTGACAAACAGAAGTTGTGTTTGGCGGTAAAAATATAATTTTCACATTTTTCATTTTCATATCACGAGGATGAGAGCATGCATTGTCTAAAAATAAAAGAACTTGCCTTTTTTGGATTCTCATTTTCCGGTCGAATTCGACTAACCACTCAGACATGATTTCTCGGGTCATCCATGCCTTTTTGTTGGATTTCCAAGTCGCTGGTAGATCCTTAATAGCAACGTTTTTTAAAGCACGGGGACGAGCCGCTTTCCCGATCACAATCAAATCGCATTTTTCACCGGCCATATTTGCACAGAATAAAATGGTTAGTCTATCTTTAGACAACTTTCCAACCACACATGTTTCTCCTTTAAAGGACAGAGTTTTGTCGGGCAATGCGCGAAAAAAAAGTCCACTCTCATCTGCGTTGTACACATCTTCTGGTTTGTAGCCAAGCAACATGGACGGAAGTTTCTCCAAAAATTGTGACACATCAACTTGATCTACTGCAGCAGCTTCGCCAGATATGCATTTGAAACTCACACTATGTCTCTTGCGCCACTTTTGCAGCCACCCGTCGGACGCACTGAAATTATTATAGCCCAAAGTAGTGGCAATTTCTTTAGCTTTCATTTTCACTAACGGCCCTGAGATTGGAATGTTCTGACTTCTAGCTTTCACAAACCACTCAAAACATGTTTTGTCTATAGCAAAACCTTCCTTTTTTAAAAAATCCTTCTTTTGATTTATATTAGTTCCTGATTGCCATTTACTCCTGATATCTTCCTTATTTTTGGCAATTTCAGCTGCTTGCGTTTTCCCAATATTAAACCTCTTTGCCAAATGACGAACTGAAACACTTTCTCTGTCTAATACGTTAACAACTTCCATCTTTTCCTTTAACGAGAGCATCCTTTTTTTTGGTGCCATTTTACAGTTACAATAATAAAATACGTAACTCAATCAACTACGAATTTGCCTGAACTGAAGACAAGCCACAAGATTACATACAGGCTACCCAACGAAATGCGTAAATGGGGAATCACCTAATATAAATCGGGGAATTACCGAATTTTATGTATGTAGATATGTGCATTGCAATAAGCGCAACTAAAAAATCGTATTAGAGTTTCGCGTCCGCTTATGGGAGATTTTTTGATCACATACAGGAAAATCTAGTGTCCGCGTCCGTTTATAAGAGCGTCCGTTTATCGGAATGCATTTAACATTGAAAATTGATGGCTGAAATTCGGTTCCAGGAACTTTGTCCGGTTAAAAGAGATGTCCGCTTATAGGAGCTGTCCGCAAGGAGAGCTTTCACTGTATATATAGTAGAGAGAGAGAGAGAGAGCAAACTGTTCAACCAAATGATTTATCAACTTTTGAATAACTTATTTTAGCTCTACCACATCTGAGCTTACATTGCGGTGTCTCAGGATATACGCAAGATTTGAACAAAATAAAAAACATTTTCTTAGATTTTAATTCATGGTTTTCTCAGCTTTGTTGGTATAGTAGATTTAACACCAATTAAAACAGCGAAAAAAAGCGGAGCCACAAAAATGTGTGAAATCAAATCAAGGTCAATTTCTCATAAATAGCATTTGGGGAGAAGACATTTTTTAGGCGCTTATTATTTACCAATCCCCCCCCCCTCTAGTTGAAATACAAATCTTAGATGGGATCAGGGACCATTCGATAACTCATTTTATGAGTACCTTATAAAACCTCGAATATAAAATCCCTTACTAACAAAAAGGTGTGTTATATCAATCTTCTTCTCTTGGAATGTTCTATCCGAAAATGTAATAAAACCAAGGAGTACCAAGACCGATTAAACGTTTCCAGGCGCTCTAGCTCTATCATACATGCTTCTTTCTCTATCTTGCTCGTACACATTAAATACGGGTACTCGATGATTCTCTGCCGAACCTGTATACTTGATTTCACACCTTTTTTGCGGATTCGGGTTTTTTGATTTTTCGATTGGAATTATATAGATCTATTGCAAGCAAACTAATTTGTCTTAAATCCTTCAAGACTATTTAGCATGAATGGGCCCTTATTTTGTTAGAGGATGACGTGTAGTTTCAATGAGACGGTGCCGAATGCCACACAGCCCGTGAAACAATCCAGTTGCTGAAATAGCTGGTAATACTCACAAGATTCTTCGTGCGGAAAATCCTGTGGAGTCCAAGAAACCGAAAATCGTTTGTATTACTGGGCATTGCCACACAACATGATAAAACAGGAAGGGATCTTAGGCAATGTTAGCCATTTGCTCAAGGGCATGAGCTACTATTTAATTAATAATGATAATAATAATAATAATAATAATAATAATAAGAAAAAGTGAGTATGAAAATTTGACAACAGAGATTCAATACCTATGGGAATGGAAAAAACAATGTGATATCGACAACTGGAGAAGTGTCTACCAACTTGAAGAAAAATATTCAAAAGTTGGAGATTCCAAGAACGAAGTCAGATCAAATACAAAAGACGGCAATACTACAAACAGGTCATATTGTCAGAACATTCTTAGGAACGGTCACGGCATGAGATGAACATCTGCTTCATGGCCTTGGCCCAGCCAATGGGATTTTCACAAAAATCACCTGGTGGGCATTAGCTACCAACTGGAAGAATGTGTGAATAATAATGGGTGATTTTTTGCTAGTATCTTTTTGGCAACACTGTTTTTGACAGATGACGCGTGAATCGTGTCTTGTGTCATTGTCAAACTTGTTCAGTTTGGTCTATAATTTAACCATGAATCGACTTACGAACGGAAAACGCTTGCAAATTATTGAATCTTACTATCAAAATTCATGCTCGGTTAAGAGAGTGCATCGAGCACTGCTTCCAATTTGTGGGCAATTTGGTCGGCCTACTGAGGGAGCTATTCGGAAGCTTGTGACTAAATTTCGAACCCAGTTTACATTATTGGACATTAAACCACCAACACGCAGACGTAGAATGAGGACTGAAAAAAATATTGCGGCTGTATCCGCCAGTGTTAGTGATGACCGTGAAATGTCGATTCGTCGCCGTTCGCAGCAATTGGGCCTCTGTTACTCCACTACGTGGAAAATTTTGCGACAGGATTTGGGTGTAAAACCTTATAAGATACAGCTGGTGCAAGAATTGAAGCCACAACGTTTCCAATTTGGTGAATGGGCGCTGGCAAAGTTGGAGGAAGATCCACATTTTTATCGAAAAATTGTGTTCAGCGACGAAGCTCATTTCTGGTTGAATGGGTACGTTAACAAGCAAAATTGCCGCATCTGGAGTGAAGACCAGCCAGAAGCATTGCAATAGCTACCAGTGCATCTCGAAATCACTGTTTGGTGTGGATTATGGGCCGGTGGCATCATCGGGCCGTACTTCTTCAAAGATGACAATGGCCGGAACGTAACTGTGAATGGCGAGCGCTACCGTGCGATGATAACAAACTTTTTTTTGCCCAAGATGGAAGAGCTGGACTTGGCTGACATGTGGTTTCAACAAGACGGTGCCACATGCCACACCGCACACGAAACAATGGCCCTCTTGAGAGGCGAGTTCGCTGAACAGTTTATCTCACGTTTGGGACCCTTCAATTGGCCGCCTAGATCGTGTGATTTAACGCCGTTGGACTATTTCTTGTGGGGCCATGTTAAGGCTAATGTCTACAGGGATAAACCAGCAACGATTGACGCACTGGAAGCCAATATTGAAGCATTTATTCGTGAGATACCGGCCGATATGTTGGAGAGAGTGTGTCAAAATTGGACCTTGCGCATGGGCCATCTAAAGCGGAGTCGCGGCCAACATTTACATGAAATAATCTTTAAACATTAAATTATATCGACCGTTATATCGACTCAAATAAAGATTTAATCGTTATTTCAAATTTTTTGTGTTTTTTTTGAAAATCAAATCCTATACCTGTTAAAAAATCACTGCCTGTAGTATTGTGAGGAGTACCAATCACCTCATCCGCTTTGTGCGTGAGCACAAGAACGCGGGTAAAGGAGCTTTTTCTTTTAGAGCAGCGGAAAAGCAGGAATGTCAGCATTCCATTACACCAAACTACTCGTAATTGCTTACCGTACGGTGTGAAGAGTGGCTAGTTCGTAGTAAAACAGCAGCTTGGTGTGTCGGAGCCCAGGTTGCCCTTTTTACTTCCCCTTTCCTTTATAAAGGAACTAAACGAAAGAGCTTTGCTTCTCTTCACTTGGATTCCCGTCTCCTTTAGAATAGCGAGTTGATTTTTGGGCCTATACATTGTGCGCTTTTAAGTACTTTTGTATATACAAAATTTTCATCACGTCCTCTTTTTTCTATTTTTGTTGAAGTAAACTAAATATTGAGTACGCACGATGACTAACTGGGCTAAGCAGAAAGAAACATTAAATGGCTTTCAAATCATCATATGTCAAGCTTTAAATAATTCTGTTTCTACGTTAATAAATAATATTTTGCTGGAAAGCAAAACCAATTTTGTACCTGAATTAACAGATAATATTTATACAAGCTTATTTAACGACACGTTTTGAATGATTTATTATATTCACACATTATTCATCAGTATTAAATATTTATAATACTAAATTGATGTTCCTGATAATCGGCATATTGTTTTTGTTTTCCAGGTTACTTAGGAAACTCTAGGGTTGTGCTAAATCACTATGATGTCTCTACACAGGTAAATATGAGAATTTTACAAGCTCATTACTTATAGTTATACAAATATATCGGGTGTTTGAAATTCGACTCTCATTATTGACATCTCGGAAAGTCGTTTAAATGGGGCAAACATGTGCAACATTCCCAAAATCGTTTTGCCTGGCTTTATTTGAAAACGGGTTTCAAAATAAATTATACATTGACATTGACACGTTTTCTCCTCTACAAAGTGGCATACTTTAAATTTTAATATAACGTTTCGTTTCTGGCCATATTGTATTTTTGCGCTGGCTAATAGAAATTTTAATTGTGATTCCAATAATGTGTAATGTTTTATACATATTCATTGGCAAAATTGAGTTATGTCAAATAAACTGATAGCTGCATAGTTAACCTTGAAAATGACCGCTTATTACATGTTTGTTGTATTAAAACACCGTTAAGCATTCAGATAATCTGCCCATTTATGGACTATAACAAGCGGAACCTCATTGCATAACAAAAATAATGGTTCTACAATTGGGTAGAAAACAGTGGTTCTATTCAAGTCTTTTCGACAAACTCATTTTTGAATAAATTGAGGTTTCACCATCCCGTTATTTTCACGATCATACTAATTTATTACATTCGCAGGCTGACATTCAGCATGTGGCGTTATCTTATGAATCAGAAGATGAAATTATGGGGCGATTACACAGCAAGGAAAGACGTGGAACCGCCCATTACAGCAAACAGGATATTCGAGAACAATATTGCATATCGGACAGGTAAGATACATGATATTCTTCACTTATTCTTACATCACACCGCAGAAAGACGTGAAGAAACATTTGACACACTTGCAGTCGACTACCTAGCTACGGTGAAACGTGACAACGTGTATCAAATCCGCTGAGCAAGGAAGATTTTGATTGAAAATAACTTACTAATATATAGAAACATTTATAATACTTGCAACTAATTTACGACAAATGTATAACTATGTCGACTGGACTATAATTCCGCGCTCGCTATCCACTGAGTCGACTGTGACTAACTGCTTCTGCCATCTGGTCGGATATATATTCAACTATCGACGCGTCAAGGACTGTTCTAGCATTTTTCCGGCAGTGTCTTGAACTTCAATGGAAGTAATATAGATGGTAGAATACAAGCACGGTCCATACATGGTCGCGCGACTCTGGTTGCCCAAGCGTCGACTCTGCCAAGCGACCCCTCGCCGCTCATGGTCCCAGCTATACGAGGGCGTCACAATACTAAGAAACTGTGACGTATATCCCTTTCATGGGTATATCACCGCTGACTCGCAAGGTGGCGAACAGAAAGAAAGACTGCTGTCATATTACTCAATCATTTTTTAATATTCCAAACAGGTTATCACATTAGCTTGGGCGGAGAAATGCAATAAACTGAAGGTATAGTCAACGCCAAACAAAGTGGCGTGCACGTCATCAAGGTGGGTGTGTTGAAAAATTTACATTGTTGCCAAACTTTTTGTAAAATAATAAAATTTATTATTTACATATCTAGGTTTATAAGCAATATTAACCTCAAATGAGAACAAAAATAATAGTATAATAAAATTATAGATCTGTACTTGCATAATCATTAAGTATGACAATTATTGATCAGATGACACTATGAAACTACCATATTTAATTGATAGCTTAAAGGTACTGAATAAAAATCCAAATGGGGTCCTCCAAATTTTATGCATGGTATTTATTTTACAGAATTCATACAGAAAAATGCATTCTAAAATTAGGTAAGCTACTGGTGTAAGCTTTTTCTGTACAATAAAGTTAGTCGGAGTTTCTTTCTTCAGCGCTGTCTGAATCTGAATCTTCATCACTCTCAAAGTTGATTATTAAAGGTTCGATGTCTGGTCGATCAAAAATTCGTTCTCTTTCAAACCATTTAAAAATTTCTTGCTCAGTATGTCGAACACTATTTTTCCACATGTCTGGGGTAACCGTTTGTAGAGCCTCGTTCCACATATCCAAACAGTCTTTTTCACTGTTACCATCTCTACCAATATGTCTGTTATAGTAACCTTTTGCTATGCCCCAAATTAACTCAATAGGGTTAAATATACAATGGTAAGGAGGCAGACGAAGAACTTTGTGCCCATGTTGTTCCGCCAATTCATCAATCACGTATATTTTAGGTGGTTTGTTTCTAAAAAAGCAGTTATTTTAAGAATAGGAATAAACAAAAGAAATATAAACTGTCGACCAAAATATATATAATTAAGAAGCATTATGTACCGAGCAACAATACTCAATAGCTCTGTTTTAAACATTGTGTTTAAAAATGGTATGTTTTGATTTGTCAACCAGTCTTGGATATTTTTTTTTGTCCATGCATTGTTGGGCACTTTGTTCAATATCATGCTGTGATAAGGGGCGTTATCCAGTATAATCATAGATGGACTCTCCAATTTTTCTAATAACTGATGTTGAAACCATTTCAAAAAATTGTCCTGGTTCATCTCTCCATGGTAATCGCTCAATTTTGTTTTCGAAGAAAATATCGCTTCACTACCCTCAATAAACCCATTTTCATTTCCAGCATGTAATATAATGTATCTAAAATATATTAGTTTTAAATTTTATAGTGCAAATTGTGTAAAAGTACATACCTTTTACCATCTGTTTTAATAGCTTTCACGCTTTTTTGGTTTCCATTTTGCCAAGAGCGACCTATGGTCCCATTTTGAAATATCCAAGTTTCATCGAGGAAGACAAACTGGTATAAGGCCTCAACCTTGGCTTGATTGTATTGCCTTAGAAATTCCACCCTTTTCAAAGCTATACTTGGTAGTTCCATGAGCCCTCGTCGCGGATTGTCCTTAAGCCACTTAAATCCAAAATCTCTAAGCAACCGCCTTAAAGACGTGGCACTACCATCAAATAATGCCCTATCTCTTAATCGAGACCATAAAGTTTGTATCGTAACTTGTTCTTCTGAAACCATGTGTAATATGACATTATAATTTAGTTAACAAATTAATGCAAATTTCTGATAAGTTATTATAATAAGATCTTACTTTTGTGATACATATTATAGATCACTTCTCGAATGGCACTTGTATCCAATGTCGCTGTGTTGGTTACACGTTTAATATAACTCCGCTTTTTCTTGGGCGATTCTAAATTTGCATCACTTTTCACACCCTCGGAAATACGACTAACTGTCCTTAAACTAATTTTTAAAGCAGCAGCAACACGCTACAAAAAATGAAATAAAATTTCACTATTATTAATATACATTACATATAATTATTAGTAACCTACCTCTTGAACAGCATTTAAAGGCAACAAAGGCCCGTTGTTGTCCCTTTCTTGCTCAAAGTAGTGCATTAACGAGGCCACGAGTTCCTTACACCGACTATTTAACTGTTTGGGCATCTTTATATACCAAAATTGCCTTTATCTACTCGTAAAATGAATAATTTTGTTTTGAAACAAACAGTTGTTGATTTACAGTATGCGGGGCCAAAAGATTTATAAAGATTTGAAATGCCACAAATTGATTCAGTGTCAAAATTAATACAAATGTCAGTTCCCAGTTTAAATAAGTTTCAAGGTGACAATGTGTCAACGCTGCGAAATCGGTTTAGTGCGTTTACATGTCGATAAGTGATTGGAGCGTTTGCAAAACATTTTATTTCGCATAATGCGTCTAAATTTATCAGAAAGCAACTTATGTGATATTTTAATAACAATGTTTATATGGCTAGTAACCATAATAAGAGAGTAATGACCATTTTACAATTTATATATCACATTAATATGAAACTGCAATAGAGCAATTGTTTGTGATAGAAACCTAGGCATTAGGTCGGGGAATTTTTATCGTGATGACGTGCACGCCACTTTGTTTGGCGTTGACTATACATATCCACATACGACTGACGTCGTATAAGCACTGTCAGTAAATTCATACCAATAGTCTTTCTTTCTCTCCTTTCTAACTTCTAATCTTTCAGTATACCTTATAGGGAAAGTTCAAGCCCCATAAATGATTGTAAATTTATATGCTTGCTACGATTCAGCCTCTTCGAGAGCCATACGGCGAACTTCCAAAAATTCAATACGAATAAGCACGCTGAGGTTAGTGAATTTAACATAGCCTTTCAGTTGGGCAAGCTTTTCGTTGATTCATTTCCATCAGAATGGTTATGTAAACAAACAGAACCGTATATTCACGCATGGGATGAAGCCAAAAGATAGTCCTTTGCACGAGTTTCATCCTCTAACGGTCGCAATTCAAAGCGATATCGCTAGAGAAACGGTTATTATATCATATTTTCTTGGGGAAGATAATAGAAATACAGTCATCTTATGAAGCTGCAGGCATCTACGTATAATAAGGCTTATTTTACAGCTCATCTTGATACTTCTCTCAATCATCGCACAGTTCTCTATAAAACCAACGATCTTGATATGACAGCTTCTTTGGCAGCATTTTTCAACTGTATGGTATTCTGTAAGCTGTGACTATCCCTCCCAGAAACTATGCTTGAAAAAATTCAGGATTCACTGCTCATTTGATGAGACTTTTCAAGTTTTGTTCTGGCATATTTCAATCTTGAAAAGCGTCCAAAGCAGTGGCCGTTTCTGCAAACGACTTGTGTTTGTATGGGATGAACAAATACACTGCGCAAGATGAAAACGTCCAGGAAAACTACCTGAACACATCCGCAAAGCATTAGTGGCGTCTTGGAGGCGCTCACTATAATTTAATGCCATATCGACAAGTGTCAAGAATTGCACAATTTTCGGTTTTTAAATCCTATTTATAAACAGACTTTTCACCTAAACATCTACTGAAGGCAGAGCCACATTAAAAATCGTAGATTTTTTCGGATATTTTATGTCCCGGTTATCTTTTGGTGTATGCGTGGCGAGGGCGCTTTACTTATTTTTACAAGAACTGTAAGCCGTATAATTTAAATTGCCAACTTTAAGAACATTGTCATCCTGAGAAGTAAACCAATAACAGTTTTAGAAATGTTCGCGGGGGAGTTACGAAAGAGAGGGAGGGAAAGGACAAACCGTATTTTGCCGGGGGTGGAATGAAATCAACAAAAGGGTAGTAAACATTCTCCTTCAAGTATTTTCCGAAATAATGAATTAGGTTATCTCATACATGTAGTAAAAGATGCATACCTACGTACAGAAAAATAATCTTTAATACAAATTGTCTGAGAAAATGGTATGAATAGGATAAAATATTCCGCGTTACTTTAAATTAAAATTATTCTAGTGATATTTGCGTCTTAATTCTTTCAGAGAAGTATCCTGAAATTGATTGAACATTGGCAAGGTAAATAAAGGCGTCGCTTCTCTGACACGGCCAATGCTATTTGGCGGAGGCTGCAGTAGTGAGAGGCACAGAATTTTGGTAGAGGTGGTAGGGGTGGCAAACAAGGACCTGAGGAAAAAATATAGACAGCTAATGCTCAGAAGCCAGCGAAAAGTAGGGCTGAAAGTGATATGCGCTTACAGAACGGTATCGACCGATGCACTGCTAGTGGTGGCTGGTATCCCGCTATATGATTAAAACTTGGACGGACAAGGGAACGGTGCGAATAGTATATATATAATAACATTGTTGTCTTGACAGCTACCTGATGAGGGTAGGAAAGAGAGAGTACGCGAGTTGCATATGTTGCAACAAAGAGAAGGGTACTACTAATTATCCACTCGAGTGCGGTAGATGGGCTGACTACCACAGACAGATGGAAGCGACGTTCGGCGAG